CCCAAATCTCCATTTTTGCCTCAAATCAACGATATTAATCGGAATTTGCTTCATAAGTCATCTTCCAAACCTGTTGGAATCATTAAAATCGTGCAAACAACATCTAAATCCCCTCAATCTTCATATTTCAAGGTAAATTTTTCTAAACCCTTTATTTCATTATTTTTGAACATAGGATTAGTTTCAATTAGTTCTAGGTTGAAATAGTGATCGGGCATTGATTATTTAGTGATTAGAAACTAGATGTTACAACTAATTTCATCAAAAAACACAAGAATTTTTCAAATTTTTTAAAAATTTTCGAAATAATAAAAAAAAATGTTATTTTTCAAATTATTGTGTTTTGATCAAATTATATTGTTGTTATGAAAAACTATACATATATTGTTTCTCAAAACCATATTTTTCAAAAGTTTTTCAAAAAAAAAACTTTGCCCATTAGGATTGATTTAGAGAATCTTGAAATATTGAGGACTCATTTGAGTTTTGGGATTAATTGAATTGCATACACTTGTTTTAAAATTGCAGGTTATTATATCTATTCCGATTTCCTTCACCATGTCAAATCCTAAACGTCCTAGGTCTTCATCTAGTCGTTCTAGTCGTCAACCAAATCCACCTCCAAATCCTTCTTCTATTCCAATTTCTAATCCCAATCCCACTGATCCTAACTTGACTATCCAAAATTCGTGTTTCAATCATCCTGGGTCTAGAAATCACCGATATTGGTATTATCAATATTTCGATTCTTACAAAATCCGGGAAGAACGTATTCCTTCTCGTCAAGCTATGTTAGCTATCGATTTTAAATATCTTCCCATTTTACAAGAATGGAAATTTGATAAACTATTTGATCTTGAACCCATCGTTTACCATCAACTTGTTCGTATATTCTACTCTAATGCCGTATGTGTTAAAAACCAAGCTGAAACCGAAACCATAGGAATTCGTTCCTACCTCCTAGGACAATTCTTATATATTGACCCGGCATATATAGCCAATACATTTGGATTAGATAATGATGGTATCTCGAATGAAAAACAAATTTTAGGTTCTCGTTACAAAAGAAGAGATAGTGCGAGTGTCTTAGACTTACATGAACGTTTTCTTCATCTAATGATTTCTTGGTGGTTTCGACCATCCGGAGGTCGTTATTCTACTCTTAGAGCTTTGGATCTTTGGTGGTTACATTGTTTCGAAAACCGTATTAAAATTAACCTACCTCAGATTATTTTTGCTGAAATTGTTGAAACCGTAAATCTTGTTCCTAACAAGAAACACTGTTCATCTCTAGTTTACGGTTGCTTTTTGAGTATTCTGTTTTCCAAAGTTGGGCTTAGAGTCGGTCTAGATGCCGTTTTTCCTCTTAAGAAACAAATAAATCTTCTTTCCTTAACGAGAGCGGGATGGGTAAAGGACAAAGAAACCGGTGAATGGGTTCGATCTTCTACTCCGGGAGCTAGTTCTTCACAAGCTCCACCCGAAGCTGACGAAGATCCCGAGCTCGAGCAATTAATGCAAGATATCGATGAAGCCGAAGATGAGCCTGATCAGCCCGAAGAGCAGCCCGAGGAGGAAGCACAACAAACGCATCAAATGCCTCCATATTTTCAATCATTTATGGAGACATTCGATTTCCGATACGCTACCATGGACTCGCGCTTTTCCTCTATAGAGTCCCATTTATCCACAATGGGAGCTCAACAATTAGAGATTCTTCGGGAGATGCGTGCAAACAATGAATCAACCAACGCTCGTATCACTGAACTAACTCATGAAATGGCTGCTATGCGAGCCCGTTTTCCTCCTACCGATCCGGATGCTTGATTTTATGTTTAGCTTTAAAACTTTGAACAAAATGAATATTGTTTCAACATTTTGAATTGTTTGATTTTGTGGATTGTTGGATTTTGGATTTATGAATGGTGTGAACTTATATGTTTGGTGTGTTTAATTCATTTTTGCATCATTTACATTATCATTAGCAATATGACCAATTTTGCCATATCACATTATTTATGAATATTGATTTATGAAACTAATGGCTAACCTCTCTTTTGATTGTGATCTTAGCAGCTTAAGCTTATAATTAATAAATCAATTGGCTAAATAATTTTCAAAACCTTGTTTTACAATGTCTTTTTGATTTAACAAAAGGGGGAGAAGAATAAGTGCTAAATGTTTTACATAATAAATTGAAGTGGTGTTAAAGTAAGGGGGAGTAATTTCAAAACTTGATTTCAAAAATCTTAAAATTACTAAAATGTTTTGTTATATCAAAAAGGGGGAGATTGTTGAAACATTTTAATATTTCGATATAACAAATTAAGTTAAATGGATTTTAAGATTTTCAAATTAAGTTAAAGTAATTTTAAGATTTTCCAAACGATTTTCTAAGTATATTCGATATAACTATTCGAATATCAAAACATTACTCCAAATATTTCAAAAATCATTTTTGATCCTTACTTAAGTGTAAAATTAAGTTTAATCATAAAACAATTTCAAAATAATCTTACAAAGTATTTCGAACCAATTCAAAGCCAAAAATTCCAGATTGCTCAGAGGGAACCGATTCCCCCCCATAGGAGGAACCGATTCCCCCCTGAATGGTTTGGCTCCGAGATTTCCAGAATGCTCGGAGGGAACCGATTCCCCCCAAGGGGGTACCGATTCCCCCCTGTTCAACGGTCGAAATATTTGAATTTTACACTTAGGGAACCGATTCCCTATGAGAGGGAACCGATTCCCCCCACACTCCAAGCTGTTTTATTAAATGTTTTCACACTAAAACGGCTATAATATCTTCTCTAATTATCCCCAACGTTCAGAAGTGATCCAAGGTGTATTTAAGCAAGCTTAGAAGCCATTGATCAACAACAAGAAACATCAAGCAACTAGAATCAAGAGAGAATCAAAGAGAAAGCATCAAACCTCAAGTTTGAGCATTTCAAGCCCATTTTCATTCAATATTCATTTTGCTTTCAAGAACACTTTTTGTGCTCAGTTGTATTCATCTTTGAGTGTTCTTTTCTTTATTCTAGAATTGTGCAAACATCTTACCTTGTGAGGTTTTCTTGTAAGTTTGCAAATTTGTAATCTTCTCTTTGAGAAAAGAGTGTTCTCAAGAGTTGGGGTATACTCTTGAGGGAATTGTAAGGTTATCTCTTTGGCCTCAAAAGAAAGAACAAATTAGTGAATTTGTTGGAAAATCCTTAGTGTGGATAGCTAAGGTAGTGGACGTAGACTTTGTTTGAGAAAGTCGAACCACTGTAAATCGCTGTGCAATTACTTTCAATTTTCTGCAAAAGCTTCCACAAAATTTTTATTGCCAATTCACCCCCCTCTTGGCCAATTTCGTCATTCGATTAACTCAACAAAAGTATATTCCTGAATACCCCTGATTGTTTGGGTAATGGAATCACTCGCAGTAAATCTGAATTTAGAATTATTATGTATAAAGGTTCCTGAACGTTTTCCTAATGCACACGAAAATATAGTGGGATTCTAATATATCAACCTTAAATGTCTGGCTAGATCGGTTAGTAATCGATTCTCCTCAATAGGACCTTATTCCTGGAATTCGATCAAATTTCATCAGTTTCATGTTATCCAAAATGATAACTACAATGGCCTCTGAAAATACTTGGATTCTCTAGTGTGTTCCCTACTTATTACTGAACTGTTTTATTGGTTTTAATATATGGTACACCGAATTCATTGGTTATTGTTTTATGGATGCACCAATTTAATGTGACAATTTATGGAATATGGCTGCTATCTAATTTTTGTTTTGAAATGGTATATGATTACCATGTTTTTGGATTCATGGAATTTATGTCACGGTGCAATTGAATTTTGGAATTGAATTTCGATGGAATAGCTCTGATCAAGCTAAATGGGCCTAATGTGACTCTTGAGGGCCCCAAGATGTTTCATTAGGTCGGCTTTCCTTTGCTGTGTGCTTAGGGTAAGCTATATGGACTTATTGACTTGGGCTTAAGGATACAAGCTTCATAGCCTATCCTTAAGTCGGCTTTCTTTTTGCTATGTGCATAAAGTAAGCTATATGGAAAATAATTTTGGGAACTACTGATGGTGTACCAGAAAAGGGTTTAAACTATGATTTTCAAAAGTTAAACTCTTTTACGAAATTGTGAGATTTACTGGACTATGATTTGTACCTATTATGATTTTATTATACTATTGGAACACACTAGACATCCTATTCGATCTCCTGAAAATGTCATACTTTGAAAGGTTTCTTATGAATTGAGATTCATGGTTTCTACTCGATGAACTTCTAAGGGAACCCCAAATTATTCTGCAAACTGGTATACGTATGATTCAATAAGGAAATTATATGGCTTTTCATTTATCTACATGGCATGTAGCATCATCTGGTAGTTCTTTATTACTGAGCTTTCCAAAGCTCACTCTATCACTCATATTTTCAGGTTAAAACAATTGTACCAGTGCATCTATCGACTTCAGTAAGGGAGTTCTTCCGGCGTGGTTGCAGAGTATGGTACTTGTGATTAGGGGGCATGTAATTGTATTTTGTTTTATATACGAGTCTGAAAATATGTTTTATTTCTGAATGCTGATAAAGCAATTATGAGTTACATGTTTTAATAAAAGTTTTAAATTTTCTACTATTTTTACAATGGGTCGCTACGGTGACCCTAATGTGACACTCCAGATCGGATCAGGATATCTGCATCGGTCTGAGGGGGTTACAAATTGGTTCCTTCTTTGTTGGTCAGCACATGCAAATGACGTCGCCTAATTCTCATCTTGTCGATTAAGCTGAATACAGTTGTGTGAAACAGCCGATTCCTTAATACCATTGTTGGTGTGTTTTGGAAACTATCGACAGCTAGCATTGTTTACACTTCAATCGGTAATCATAAAGGGACTAATACACAACATGTACCTTTCGATTATGAGAGTTGAACCAGAAAAAGGAACACTTGTAAGCTCTTGCTGTAATGCTGAAAATGGGGGAATCTTATAAGGTAGCTGTCATCGGCGCTGGCCCTGCAGGGCTACTTACGGCCAGGGAGTTTCAAAGAGAAGGTCATCACAAAGTTGGTGGTACCTGCCTCTATGATCCACGGGTGGAGACCGACCCATTGGGCGTTGACCCGAATCGGGAAATAGTTCATTCTAGCCTTTACAAATCGCTTCGAGTCAATATTCCTAGGCACGTTATGCACTATCCATTTGTGAAGAAAGACGGTGCGGATCTGAGGCCTTTTCCGATTCATGAAGAGGTGCTCAGATTTCTTGAGGATTTTGCTCGGGAATTTGGGTTGATGGAGTTGATTCGTTTCGGGCATTAAGTGACTCAGGTGGAGCTACTTGAGGTGAGTCACCAATGCGTTGTTGAGTCGAGAATTCAACAGAAGACTGAGTCAACATGGGAATCCAAAGAGGAAGTGTTTGAAGCTTTGATTATTTGCAATGGCAATCAAACGGAACCAAAAAATTGCAGAAATTGCAACTTGCTTGAGAAATATGGAACAAAATATGCAATTACTTTTATCACTATTCCTATTGAAAAGCTCCTAAATCATTTAACAAAATATTCAACTTTGCTAATAGATTAGATCGGATTGGGTCGAAACCCATCAAGTTCGGTCCATACCCATTCCTTCTCCTTACTAATGTCTCATCTTTAAGAAAAAAATTTCTTTTCCATAGAAATAGAATGCCAACTGGCAGATAGAGATGGGCCTGGAGAGAAGTTCCATAATGAACGAATAAACATTAGTGGTGTGAGGTCCATGTTGGTTGGAGGTGCCCATTCCGATGTCTCCTTAAAATGAAATTTTGACTTTGTTGAACTTAGCAGACCCGTTTAGGTTGGTCCATAATGACTCATGGTCTTAAGTCTTAAGTCTCAAGATTAGAAATAGGGACGAATTTAGAAATTTATGTTAAGGGTATAAATTTAAAAAATTATATTATAGATTTATAATTGTTAAATTATAAAATTTTAAGGATGTAAAATTAAATCATCAATAGAAAATATTTAAACTATATGAAAATTAAGATTTTAGATGTGATGGCACCCTCGATCCATTCCTAACTATATCTTCTTTCTTGTCAACTTTTTTAGTTTGCTTTTGTTAAAATGAGTAAATTACTTTTTGGATGAGAGGGATTGAATAAAAAAATTATTTTCAACAAAGACTTTACTCTAAAGAAAGTTTTTTTTATTTGTGTGTGTGGTTGCATCACAAGCTCAGTTGAAAAGTTTAAAAGAAGAAATTTAACATAGCAATTGAAAGAAAAATGTGAGGATTAACCAGACATTTGAAGAACAATAATGGCATATGGCTAAAGCCTGAGGTCATCACCTTAACTTGATGAGTTGTTTGTAGGTACATTGATAGAACGTACATATGTTGAAATTATGTTTCAGTTTCCCTAACAAGTTCCCATAGCTTCCAGCACAATCTGAGAAACCCATAGTTTTTACTGTCTTCTAAAAGAACATATTCTAAGCTATTTGATACCACCCCTAAGAACATGCAACTAAAACAAAACTAGACAAGGAAACCCTAAAAGCTTGAATTTGTTTATTTGTAGGGAGAGAAGCCGACGTTGGTAGGCATAAAGAACTCATCTTTCACCCGCGCCTCCTCTCCATCCTACGTAATACACCAAATCCAAAATGATGGAACATATAAGGATTAAAAGTGACAACATTAAATGAGTATTTAGGGTTTGAAATACCTGTTGGCGTAGGTTAGATTTCCTCACGGATTGGACAGGCATAAGACCCGAAATGTATGTGTGGGAAGTGGGCCCACTAGAATGTAAAAAAAATAATTAAAAATGAAAATTAGTATATGATCATGAACATTGTCATTAGCATCACTAAACTTAATTAAAGAGATAGACGAGAGACAACTGTGTTTTATATCGAAAATTAGCACATGATGATAAACATGACTAAAACCTAGTTTTTGTTAGGCTAAGAACTTGATGATTATTTTGTAATGATTCTGGAATCGTTGATCTTACATTCTTGGCAGCAGCACTAAAGGCGTCTCTGTGACTTATATCAGGATTCTCAGCTTTGATACGTTGGATTTCGTTCCTGCAGTTTTGGTACATGTCAATATCACAAAGCATTTGTTCCATTGTTTTTTTCCATTCAAAACAGCACCAACACTCTACAATTTTAAGAAGCTAATCACTTACTTGATGAAGCGATTGTAGGCAGACGGAACTCTCTGTCTCTTGTCCGGAGCTGGAAAAAAAACACAGAAAAATCCATCACATACAAACAAAGATCCGGTAAATTTCTCATACAAATGCATTAAACGAAAACATGGTCTAAAATGTTAAGAATCTCACGTCTGTTGACCACCGGAGGTTTGGTCATCTCCTCAACTGCTCCTCGAATAGCTAAACCCCTTGGGTCAGCGTGATTGATCATCAGCATGTTCGGTGGTGCACTACTTCGGATCTCCTCCTGCGAAGAATTGATGTAGTGAAAGATGAACAGAAAGTTGACATAAAAAACCCTAATTTTTTCAGAAAACGAACTATTAGATATAAATGTTCAGGCACGTACAAGGAGATTCTGTGGGGTAAAGAAAGAATGGGCAAGGTGAAGCTGATTAGCTGCAGGAAGAAGCAAGCCACGCATGTTGACAGGCAAAAGATTGGTGCAATGGCCGCATCGAACCGTAACGGTCTTCAACAAGCTACTGCAAGGAACACTCACCTGTGATGATACAAATACAAAGACAATCAGATAGTAATAGTAAAGCAGAATAAAAGCCCCAAAGGGTAAAAAAGAAAAGGGCTTACAGCGAGAACGGTGTCGCAGAAGTTGCAATGGACGTAACAGAGCTGGTCCGGTGAAAAAACAACTGATGAAGACGACATCTTCCTTTGAAATTTTTTATATGAGCTTTTTGATTTGATTGAATGATGGTTTTACTGATCAGTGGAATTTGATAGCGCTTCTAAGTTCTAACTCCCTGATATGATCATCCTCTTGGTTGTGACTCAAAGTTGTGCTAAAGATACAGAAAAGAGAACTTACTGATTATATAATACGAAACGGAACCTGTAAACGAAGGGGTTAGGTTAAAGGGCAAACCGAAATTTATGGTTGGCTTTTCCAATGTTAAATGAGAGAGAAAGAAGAGAGGCTGGGAAGAGGTGAGGAAGGGACGTTTGCATGGGATGTTATTGACTTAATAAACCTCGAGCCTTTTCTTGATCCTCTAAAATTCCAGGGTGCCATAATAGGTAAAATCCTATCACTAGTCTCTATATTATCATAATGTTGAGGATTTACTCCCAATACTTTAACTTGCTCAATTTAATCCCTCTACTGTTAGAATTTTAAAATTTTAGAATTGTCTCAAATAATAAGGGGGAAAATAACTAAATTAAAGGGACTTAAAATGATTAAATTGGAGAAAAAAGAATTAAATTTATAACTTATGCATTTTATAAGAAGTAATAGCATAATTTAATAGATTTAAAAGTTACCTTTTGAGTTAGGATCAAAATTTAAAATTTTAAAAAAATTTATAGGTACTAAAAATGATGAATTAGAGTAATATGGATTGACTTTCACAAAGTATAGGGACTAAAATGACCGAAATAGAGTATAAGGTCTAAATTCATTACTTTCACATGATATAAGGACTAAAAACTCGACATATCGGAGCACTAATATTTTTGCAGGAACCTATGCATTGTAGATTTAAACTTTAGCTTTTATACATATTAACCTGATCTGCCATCGCAACCTAGGCACCTCACTCTACAGCCGGATTCATCTGTCTTTTCATTGGTGTAGTCCTTCAAAAAAGTAATAACATTTGCCATGAACAAAAGGATAAACAAAAATCTTTGAGAAACAGCCGAAAAAGATATACCCAGCCTGACTTTCATCGACAAAGAAAAGCCCAGGAAGATGCTGAACCTCTCACTTAATATTTTCAATATATATATGGTCATTCTTCATTCCTTTGATCATATATATATGGAGCGAGTGTTGGCGGTTTAAGAAGGTTTATTCGATGTTAGAGGGAGTTGACAGAGAGCTCTTTGCAAAAAATAAAACTGAGTCCCTTTCTTTTCTATAGAGAACCTGTTTGCATGGGAGAAGTACATGGGTATTTTACTTGATACCCTGTTATTTAATATGTTATGAAACTTTTCATTATGAGATGATAAGCAATTAGAGTCCATTTCTTTTAACTTCTAGTTTAGATTTGATTTTGAATTCCAGATTAACTCATTGTGTTGTGACTAGTTGACCTTAAAATTAAGGCCCACACTTGAAAATAAACCCTTGTATAGACAAATAGTTACAGGCTAGTCGGTGGCAGCTTTTGCAATAGGGTAAACCAGCTAATGAATCTTATAAATGGTAATAGCTACAGAGACTCGTTTTCAGATATATTTTTAATATTTATTTTTACGGTAAATGATACCCTTAATCACTAAATTTTATAGTTTTATTCTCTATTTTTAGTTTAGCATTAACATAAAAGATAAAAATTAATTTTTTTATTTTATCGCATTGTAATTAAGATGTTTTCAACCATTCGGAATGGTCATAGAAAACTATTATTTTTCCGATGTCTTTTGTAAACTGTGATCGCCTTGGATATCGGTGAATCTATATTCTCGTCTTTTACCATTTTATTAATTTAAATGTCTCAAAACCTATTTAAAATCTAGAAAATTTGACAAATTTTTTTTTATTTTTTATTTTGGATCGAGGTGTTGTTTGAAAATCCATGTTAAAACTGTGAAGAACACAGTTCCAAAAAAAAAACAGAAATTAAGAGAGAAAGCAAAGGGAAAACAGAATGTAGGCTAATAGAAAAATGACGATTAGCCTTGATCCGAAGATCCTTTAATATAGCCACGCTGATTGCTGAGTTACCACTATGAGTTTAACCCAATGTACAGCTGGCTTAACCACCTAACAACCTTAACAGAAAACAGTTATAAAATGTAGTAATAAACCGATCCAGCTGGCACACCTTCCAGCTGATACTTACACTTCAACATTCACCCCGCTTTTCAACTTCTTCAACCAAAAAAGAACCTCAACATTTGTGCAACTGAAGTCTTTGCAATGAGAACACATTGAGCTTTTGGCGTAATTCCTGAAACCGAGTTGTAATTAACGGCTTTGTCAACACATCTGCAATTTGATAGTGTGCTGGAACATAATTGACGACAAGTTGCTTGTCCGTGACCTTTTCCCTAACAAAGTGAACATCTAAGTCTACATGTTTAACTTTAGCATGCAAGACTGGATTAGCAGCCATGGCAACAGTACTTGTATTAT